AGAGTTCAGTGCATTCCTCATCACGTTTCCCTATGGGGTGTTAGTAATGCTATTAGGCAGCTGTGAGTTGGTGACTGCACCAGTGTTCCCGTTAGGGTGAAGTTTGCCTGCTCACCGAGGGTATGTCTACATTGCAAACAAACACCTGCGCAGTGAACCTGGGTCTACAGATTGGGGCTTGCGCTACAGCTCTAAAAACAGCAGTGTAGATGTTTCCGCTCAGGCTCTGAGACCCCCTCCCCATGCCTGGTTTCAGAGCCTGAACTATATATCTACACTGCTATTTTTAGCACCATGGTGTGAGCTGCCCATCTGCAGACCTGGGCTCTAAGACTCGCATCTGCAGGCGTTTGGTGTTTTTTGCAGTGTAGATGTACCCAGGGGGTCAACACAAATCTTATGCACAACTTCAGTTCTCCCAGTAGAGCTGGAGTGGGACTTAGGTTGAGCACACAGGTGAATGGCCCCATCAAGGTAGGATCCCCTTTGCACTCATCCCTGCTGATTGCGCTTCACCATGCACTTATACACACAACCCTCTGCGCCTGTGCTACAGATCTAGCCCTGAGATTTCCTTTGTCTACACTAACAAAAATAAAATCAGCTGAACGTTTGAACTTTTCGTTAGACTTTTCAGCTCATTTAATTTTTTTCTGGTAACTGCTTGTTAACCAATAGCAGCTTTGCTGCAGCTATCATCCAAACAAGGCTTAATAAGTACCTGCCACTATTCTGTCCTCGCTTCAGATGCCATTCATTATCAGGAATGCTCTTTCATCAGGAGCATTATTGTCTGAAAATGACAAATTTACCGAATGGCCTGTTTTGTACAAAATAAATGTCCTTTTTTAATGAATGAAAACCTCCACCTGTCTGTCTTAAATTGATGTCACCCTTTTTTCCCGCTGATCTCCCGCCTTCGTATCACTCAAAACCTGCCTATCGGTATGTGTTGTCCAAATAGAATGTGTGTGTCAGTATCTGGGCAGTACAAGTGCCTGATACACACATTCTGTTTAAAAGTCATTCTGCTGAAGGGCCCAGTTCTCAAATATGGGCCGCTGCAGAGAATGTTGCAGCCTGGGAAGCTAGGTGCTGAACTACAGATATAAGCTTACAGAATTGGGATGAGGCTATTCTGTTAAGACTTCCATCTTTGAAAACTGGGGGGGGGGCTAATGCTCATTTTCACTGTCCCCTTTCCATTGCTTGGGCAGTGTATCATTCACATCCACCTTTAATGTCATAGCAATGCTAAAGGGGACTTAGTGCTAATGACAATCAAGCCCCGGCCTTCTTATGGCATTGACTTTTTGTCCGACAAGGGACATTTAAAGAAAATGAGTGATGGCTGGCTGGATGTTTGGAGCCAATAATGTTATGGCAGGGTTCCCAGGTGGCACTGCTGCACATCCTCTCACAAGTTCTTTTTCTTAGCATGTAAACAGAGTACAGGCTGTGAGATATGCTGTACTGTCGTTTGGTTTGGTGATCCAGGACTTTTTGTGGGAGCAGTGGCAAACAGCAAGAGAGTTTGCTCTCAGCATTCATCTCTTTAACTAGAGTCAGTTCTTGGGGCATAGCTGTTCCCTGGTGTTTGGGCTGCAAATGCAGAAAAAGGGGTTTCCCTGCATGCTGTTTGTGACCACCTCTGTTTAAGGACTGGTGTATAGTGTGTAATTTAAATAAAACACGTTACACTAACCGCCATGTCACTGACTTCACCTTCAACAGGAATCCAACCTTCAGGGCCCCAATGTCGGCTACTCTTCGGCAGAAGGATGATGATAAGAACTAGACAAAGCCTCAATAAGAACTCCCCAGTTCATTGAAGAGATTTGGATTTAAGCTGGGATCTGAAATACCCGGGTTAGGACCCTAGGAAGGCTACTGAAGAAGCAAATGTTGTTAAGGGCCACATATAGGGAAAGTGAGGCACTTGATTGATCGTTGTCTTGTCTGGTTATTTAGTAGCCTTATATGGTGGTTTTTGTTTTTTTTATTTATTAACAGTTTGTAAGGATTTGTGGGAGGAACCTAGAATGTTCAGATTGGCACCTCCCATTACTTTAAAAATCTAAATAAATAAAAACTTCTAAAGAGAACTTTACCCCAACCGTGCAGCTGTCAATCAGTTTTAGAAACAAACTCAAATGGAACCTTTGTCTGGGGTTCTGAATTGTTTAGGGCTAACCTCAGCATGCCTGAGTTGTGTCCCCCAATGTGATTGTTACTTATTAAACCAATCATAACTAAGGCTACGATTTAGTCACAGAATCCGACTTCCAAAGATCTCCATGACTTCAGTCCTGGTGGCTGGGAGCTGCAGGGTCCCGTAGCCCCCCACAGTGGCAGGGAGCTGTGAGGTACTCCCGATGCCTAAGGCAGTGGTGCCCTCAAGCTCGCAGCCACCATGGGCAGAGAGGTGGGGGTACCCCACAGCACCCTGCAACCAGCGATGGCACGGGAGACGCCCACAGCACCCCGCACAGTGGCACACAGGGGGACCCAGCAGCTTCCTGCCACTGCAGGGGGGCCTGGAGCTCCCAGCCACCCAGCATCTGCCCAACCCCTTCCCATTTTATCATGGATATTTTTAGTAAAGGTCAGGGACAGGTCACTGGCTTCCATTAATTTTTCTTTATTGCCCATGACCTGTCTGTGACTTTTACTCACAATATCTGTGATAAAATCTTAGCCTTAATCATAACTGTCACATTGTTACCTTGTGCTTGCCCCTCATCTCTTTGTTGCATCCACTTGTCTGTGCTCTTATTAGATTGTAAGCTCTTTAGGAAAGGGACCGTCTTTTTGTTATGGGTGGACAGTATTTACCACAATGGGCCCTAACTTGTGATTGTGGTATCTAGATGCTACCACAGTACAAACAATAATTAGTAATTGACACGGCCAGGCATTGACCAGGAGCCAAAGTGTCAAAATGCAACGAGAAAGGGTCTAGTATTTCTGGCTGGGATTGAAAATCCTACACAACAGCCTCTTTGGCAAGTTTTCAACTAATTTTGCAGGCTCCAGGAGTTTGGGGAATAAGCAACTAAGTTTCTGGATGCTTATCCAAGCTCACCCTGAAGTCTGGATGTTTTGAGGTTTGCCCCATCGCTAACGAAGAAGGTTCTTTGTTTCTTCAAAAAAACTCCAGCTTTATTTTTAGCCTCAAATCATAAAACCTCTGTGATGTCCCTGTGATTTCTACAGCAGGCAGCTGTAATGTCCCTGAAAAAAAATGATGTCTTTATTAGTCAGAGAAAGAGATGAAAAGAAAGTTGGTGTCTCAACTGTGCATCTCTGGGGTGCCACAGGACTCTGGATCATTTGATTAGTTTGTAAATTCATTATGACTGAACCAAAGTTGCTAAAATGAGAACCTGCAGCACAGCCCATGCTGGTTTCAACCTCTTTGCTATAGCAAATATGGCACAACTCATGTTTAAGTCAAAGAACTTAAGCACAAAGGCATCTAAGGGAGTTCGGAGCCCAAATCCTAAAATTGTAGCCAAAGTTTGTTGCTAAATATATGTGGACTTAAGTAATTACATGCTTAAAGATAAACATGTGCATAAATGTGTTACTGAATTTGGACCTATATGAATTCAAATGGGAGTCAGGTACCTCTGGCATCATGCCAGATCAGGACATTAAGGTGGCTTGGTGGTACCAAGTATGTGTGTTAAAATGAGTATTTCCTGTCCATCAGGATTTATTGACCCAAAAAGGTATATAGTAACCAAGCTGAATCAGATTAATACCAATTTTGTTCCCAGGGGACAATGACACTGGTTGTTGACCAAAACAGAAGTCAGTGTATAGGTTAATTGCTGAAAGACTGTTTTTATTAATAGTGCCATGGATTTTTGACATTATTTCATGTTGAGATCAAAGCCATTGTCGAGTGGTGGTAGAAATGGCATAACTTGTAGTAGCACTTATTTTCTATTTATTTCATATCACAGTCCCAGTTGGTTACAAAGGTGTTTGATGACATGAGTGACTAACAACACTAGTTATCGATCCTGGAAGGTGAAGATTAAGACTTCAAATGAAGATTGACAAATTAAAAGCAAAAAGTCAGAGGTGACTAACAGCAGCACTCGTTGACCTCTGATGTCAAAGCAGGCAAACAACAGAAGTGAAGATTAAACTGATATTGACCTCTGGTTTGGGGGCAACATTGAGAATTATTGATCTGAGAGAAAAATATTGAACTAAGTAATGTCAAGGTTAGAATTTATTTTCAGAGACAGCTATTGATGTTGATCAAAACCAGAAGCAAATTTCTGTTCTTGTTGCATAGATTCTGCCATAAAGGTTTGTTATGAAGAGGGAACACACATGATGGAACAATGGCCTTTGTCTCATTGTGAAGTTTGTAACTGAGTTTCTGTTATTAACTTGATTTTTTTTTTTACATGAAGTGGACAAGGTGTTATCAGATACAGTGGTCTCCAAGGTTCAAAAATCTTGTTCTCTCCGCACTTTGTAGCAAAAGGACAGAAAGTAGGAGAGAAATGAAACTTTCCTAGCTGAGATCTCGTGCACAAGCCAGAATTTTGATGATTAATGTCTCGCTTCAAAAGTTACTGACTTTGTAACTGGGAACTTTGCAGGGGTTTGCTAGACCTGCCCCGAGGCCCTGTTGAAGTCAGTGGAAGTTCTACTGCTGAGTTTAATGGGACCAGGATTTCAACCTAAGTTCCTAGCCCTTTTCCTTGCGGAGAGAGGTCACCAAATCAAACCTGATTGCTAGAAAGGCTTATGAAGAGAATATTTCCATCAGGAGGCTCATTCCACCATGGCACTGAGGACATCCTCCGGGTAATAGGAAGTAACAGATTGCCCAATGCCAGTGGTATCCACCGTGGCTCTCTGCACCAGGGCAGTTAGTGACTTTGATGGGGACCAAGAGGGTATGGTTCCTTTGTGTTACCTTCTCTTGCTCCCTTTGAACTCCTTACTCATCAGAGGTGCATGGTGTCTTCTAGGTTAAAGCTGCCCTTTGGATGACCTATGCTTCACAGAGAAGATCCTCCTTGGCTCATCAAACGTGCTTGGAAGGTAAGGGCCTCTCCTCCATCTCTGAGCCAGGACCAGCCTTTCCAATGGTTTCCTCATAATATAGTGCCCTAAGATAGTGCTCCAGTCAGTGTGGGTGTAGCCTCCAGGGTGAACTGCAGTAACCTCAATGCCTCTCCCTCTGTGTGTGCAATGCAGCTCTCCGGCCCTGTCTTGGCTTCCATGCCTCTTAGCTACAGCTCGCTACTGCTGGATGGTTGAGTCCACAGAGCTATGCACAATTTCTCCCCCCCTATTTTTAAAAACCATTCTGGAGTGGGTTTTCCAGATGTGTGCTGAACAGAGCAAGTAAAAAGCAGCTGGTATCAATGTACATCTCCTGGCCTAACCATGCTTATGACAGGACTAAGTCAGCTACACCTAGCTTAGCATATGGCAGCTTTTAGCTCTTGAATGTCCTTTGAGAACCCAACTCCTTTACTGTACTCTAGCCCCACATCTCGCACATGCTTTGTTTTCACAGGCGATTTGGGTGTGACCCAACACCTCTTCTAAATGTTCCTTTAGCACCCAAATAGGTGGTGGCCCTGTTAGAGCACCCATATGGCCAGTTGGGCATGCATGGCTTTTTGAAAATTCTGAACTCAAACTCTTTCTATGGAGAGTTTTGTATCGAGTACCGGTACTTGTATCCATAATCCATGAACTAAGAAAACTCCGGGACTGCAATCGTGGCCTTGTACACTAAACACACATGTTGTACTGCATTAATCATAGGGATATAGTGAGAATGGTACAACCCCTAGTGTGGGTGCAGTTGTACCATATAAATATGCTTATCCTGATATAGCTTATTTCTGTATGAGAAGGATAAACAGATATATAGAGTCATAGTTTAAGGCCAGAAGGGATCATTAGATCATCAAGTCTGATCCCCTGTATATCACAGGCCATTAAATTTCATCCAGTTACCTCTGTACTGAGCCTAATAACCTGCGTGTTTGACTAAAGCACATCTTCGAGAAAGGCATCCAGTCTTGATTTGAAGACACCAAGCAATGGAGAAATCCACCACTTCCCTTGCAAGTTTGTTTCAATTTCTAATCACCCTCACTATTAAAAATTGGTGTTTTATTTCTAATTTCAGTTTGTTCGGCTTCAGCTTCCTGCCATCGGTTCTTGGTATGACTTTTTCTGCTAGATTAGAGCTCTTAATACCTGGTATTTTCTTCTTGTAACAGTACTTTGTACAGTGTAAACAAGTCACCAGTCAGTATTCTTTCTTGATGAGCTGAAAAGATTGGGCTGTTTAAGTATTTCCCTGCAAGGCATTTTCTCCAGCCCTCTGGCACCTTTATACTGGTATAACTGTCCACACAAGGAGTTGTCTGGTTTAACTGCATTGGTAAAAAAAAAAATCACGCCCCTAAACAACCTATATCAGCATAAAAACGGTGTTGATCAGGCCTGTGTGCGGATCCATGTCTGAATTTCATTTGGGTTTGTTAAGCTAGCAAAGAGATTTGCTATCTTTTGTTAGATCATTTTAGCTGAAGAAAAGGATCCTTGGAGTCTCTTTTCACCCATATAATCCTTACCTCATAAACTGTTTAAGCTGAAAAGAGATCTGAGATAACTTTCAGTTGCAGACTTTTGTAGCAGTTCTTCTATCTTGTGCAGTGGTATTAAAAGGGAAAAGCACGAAAAATCATTTTGGAGCCGTTTTATCGTCTTTATTCAGAGGAATCCAAAATATATTTTCAGCTCTCTGGAAGCATTTGCTGCTGGTTCCCCAGACTTGGTAAAATTACTTGTTAATAAAAACGTGTTTTAATATGCTGGCAGAAAATTGATACCATTTCCAATCTCTGCCTTGAAACAAATGAAATGTGGGCAGAAATTGAGCTCTCTCATTTCTGAAATGGAAAATGGATTTTTTTAAAGTTCAGATCATTACCAAGTGTAATATTCTTATAATAAGTTTATCACTGACCTTGTACTATTACTGCTCTGGTGCTAACTTTGTACAGGAACATATTACTTTTAAAAACAACAAAAAATGGAATAGCCTTTCAATCTTCTGGCCCTCCATAATCCAGCCGAACAATATTGCTTAGCAGTGGTTACGAAATTAATTTGTGAGAAAACAATGCATTGTGTCTGTTGCAGTATAAGGTAATATGAACCTCAAGGGCTGACTTATGTGATTTCTGTTTAACTAGTTAAGGTCCCTTTGACAAATTGCTGAAACAACATCTCCTCTCTCCCCTCCCAACTGGAATGTTTGGCATTTCTTCATTAACACCCATTTATCTGGGGGTAATGGCATCAAGCAGGCAGCAAATGAGCGAAATCACACTCTTCCTGGTCTGGTCTTTCTCATCTGCTGATAGGAAAGGAAACTTCTAGAGAGGAGGATGACCTTTCGCTTAATGCACTGGATGAATAAGAACATAAGAATGGCCATACTGAGTCAGACCAAGGTCTATCGAGCCCAGTATCCTGTCTTCCAACAGTGGCCAATGTCAGGTGCCCCAGAGGGAATGAACAGGTAATCATCAAGTGATCCATCCCATTTTGCCCGTTCCCAGCTTCTGGCAAACAGAAGCTAGGGATACCATCCCTGCCCATCCTGGCTAATAGCTATTGATGGACCTATCCTCCATGAATTTATCTAGTTCTTTTTTGAATCCCTATTATGGTCTTGGCCTATAAGACTACATCTTCTGGCAAAGAGTTCCACATGTTGACTGTGGGTTGGGTGAAGAAATACTTCCTTTTGTTTGTTTTAAATCTGCTGCCTATTAATATAAACAAAACCTAGGTATGGTTCCGAGCTGTGCCCCTGGCTTCCCATCTGACCTTAAGCAAATCATTTAGGGAGAGATTTTCTGGCACCTGAATAATGGCCAGATTCTTCAGAAGTCCTTAGCCCTTTGCAGCTCCCAGTTTGACACTTATGGCTAGATTTTCATAAGAGCTCAATCAATACCCAATCTGCTGAACTGTTTTGAAAATCTGGCCACTTACTCCAGAGTTTAAATGGGAGCTGATCTCTTTTAAAAATCTGGCTCATCTCTTGATGCCTCAGTTATTGAGCTGGAAAATGGGGACACCAACACTTCCTTTGTCCGTTTGTTTATTTAGCTCGTAAGCGCTTTGGGGGAAGGGACGCTCTCTTATTATCTGTACGTACAGCACCTAACACACTGGGCCTTGATCTCCTTCTGGACCTCTAGCACTACTGTAAGAATAGAATTTTTTCCTTTCTTAGCTAATCCTTTCATAGGGACATACTCCTTGTGGCAGTGTAATATCAACACAGTTAAAAACACTATTAAAACATACTGTGTAAGAAACAGAGGAGGTGATGAGCAGCATTGTTGAGTAGGGAATAAATGGTGGCTTTCTCATTTCATGTTCACCTCTAGCTGTTGTGTTAATATTGTAATACTAGTGCAATAGCATTGGACAATATAGTCTTCAGCTACTATGAGAAAATAGCACGGTGAGAGGCTAGCAGAATCCTAGCTACAGAGATTAAAATATTTCCCTATGATGGTGTCCAAATACAGGGTCTCTCTTCTCATCCATGCAAGACTATCTATAGAAGATTATTACCAGCTATGCAAAATTGATACCATCTGTCTATATCATAGCCTTATAATCTACACAAAAGCTTATCAACAGAATTGGTAAGGAACTGGAATTTCCATTCCATGAGGAATTCTGACATTTTGAAAAAAAATATTTCAAATCAGAATGAAAAACCTGAAATTTCCCAGAACATGAAATATTTAGAAAAAAATTATTTTGGGTCAATCAAAAGGCTTTATTTTGATTTCAACTTTTTTCAAAATTATTTTTTTAATACATTTTGAAATGAAAAATAGTTTTGAAATGAAAGTTGAAATGTTCTGTTCTGAAAATGTTGAATTGACACTTTTAAAACAGTTTTGAATTTTTTTTAAACCAAATTTTGTCAAAATCAACATGTTCCTGCAGCAAGTTTTGATTTTGATGAAATGGCATTTTTCCATAGAGAAACATTCCATTTGCAAAATATTTGACCAACTCTACTTAATAATTTGTAGAGGTTAAATTAAATAACATCTGTTAATATTTAAGTACTTTCTGGAAAGAATAAATAAAAATTGCAGCACTTGATGTGAATGGTGAGGAGCAGAAGAAATTAACCAAGTCAGTAAGCATCAAAGGAAGGATTTACTTTTAGGGAATCCAATCCAGCATAGAATGAAGGGGGCGGGGGTTGCAGCTGTGATGAGAGAGACTATTTATTGAGCTAGAGGAAGAGCTGGTTTTTCTGTTGGTAGGCTTATAGTCTTACATGAAACAAATATTTGGCTAAAGGTTGTAAAAAGCAAAGGTTTGGGCTGAAGGTTGAAACACCGCTAAGTAACATCAACCCCTTTCCTGACTGAGAGAGAAGTGGGAAGGATAGGAATTTGACTTAGTATTGCAGGAAGACACTTATAGAAAGAGGATTTTGGCTGACATTTGTTTGGATTAAAACAAATACTGCATTTGGGAAGTGGCTCAGGACAAGAACCACTATGAACATTGCCTGCTTCTGTACTGATATTTGTATCAGTTCATCTCTAAGCAGGGACAAAAGCCAGGCCTGGATCCATCAGGAGCTCAGCCCACACTGAATTCCTTACAGGGTTGGGGCTCAAGACTCCCCTGCATGGCAACCGTGACTGCTCTTCAATGAGGGCCTGATCCAACAGCCATCGAACAGGATTCCCATTGACCTCAGCAGGCACTGGATTGGCTTTAAGGGACTAATCCTGTACTCACTTACTACTGTGGCTATAATGAAGTCAGTGGGCGTACTCACAGCTGTATGCACCAAGGGCTTGATTCAAAATCCATTGAGGGCAATGGGAGCTGGTGGGCTTTGGCTCAGGCCCTAAGTCTTGTGGCATTTGTAATACAGCATGCTAACACATCATGCAGCAGCCTGCATCCTTGCTTTTGCAGCCAAATGGATGTATAGGTGACACATCTAGGATACAAGT